TAAATTTTCTAGCATATTTTAAAGACTTAAAATTCCCATTTTAAAGAGCTAATTCACTTTTTCAGGAAAATTTACTTCCTTTATGTCTAGCTCATGTTATGAACTAATAGCCAACATAATCTTCGATTCAGAAACTAAGGATTTTTTCAGTTATATACTCACAAAAGGCATTTTAAATCAAAACTGTCTGTCCACATTACACTTTTATATCTCTGAGGGCCAAAAAAGATTTTCCTTTAATTTTGTTCTGGGAAAAAATCCTCCCCAGGCTAAGATCTTGTATGTCAAATCTAATCTCAGAGTGAATTATAAACTGCTGATAATAAGGCTTTATATTAATGGAAGCATGGTTATAGCCCTCACTATAATATGGTATCTCTGGTTTCAATTATACTTTGCACAATGCAATATATCTTCAGGAGTATCTAATGTAATTAATCAGGTAGTGGTGTAATGCAGACTAGAATAAGGAGAAAACCAGGCATTTGTCGTTTTACAGAGATGGAGAGAGATTTTATTAGTAATTTAGTGAGAGCGCTCTTTCCTGGTGCCAGCGGATTAGTGCATGCTGGTGTGTGGAAATTATTCTTCAGTTTTCTATTTTTGTTCCTCAGCGAGCAGAGTTTGAAGTTGCTCTGGAATTACACGGAGAAGCTGTACATGATTAGCACAAAGTAAAATTGATTTAAAATAAATTACTACTGCAGGTCTCTTTTCAGAGTTTCACTTTGGTCCTGGCATGAAGGGTGGAGGGATTTTTTTCTCCATAAACTAGATTTTATCAATTAAGATCAAAGAGCTGTAGAAATCAGAGATGGAAAAAATTTTGTCAGGTCATCTCTTCTATCAATGCAAGAAAACTTTCTGCATGTTTCTCTAATACATAGTCAAACTTCACTTTCAAGACTAGAGTTAAGAGCTTCCACTGATTCCCTTAGCAGATTATTGCGTAGTTACATAAACTTACTTTATTCCCTGCAGCATCTCTGAAATTTCCTGTATTGTTTTTTCTATCTTTTTTTGAATTACAACTTTGCAGATTTTTCTCAAGCCAGCTTTGTTTATCAGAGTTTATATCCTTCTAAGGTTTCTGAACAAGCTTTTGTGTTTGCCTCTTCCAGAGTCAGTGTTTAAACAAACTGTGTCACTCTTTTATCCTTTCCTCTTGGTCCAGTATTATTAACTCCTTAAAAGTACTTTTTACTGCTTTCCTCTGAAATTTGCTTGGTTTACAGGCATGATTTGCTTTCTGTCAGTGTAGCGCTCTAATGCAGAACTGTCGCTGGAGTTGTTCAGAAAGGGCTATTCCCACTCTTGCCCACTTAAATGGAGACATGACTTCTGCAGCATTTGTAGTTGTGCATGGGTTGCAGTTCACTACTTACTCATACTCTTCATTTTTTTCAAAATTATACCAGCTAACTCCCTGCCACTGAATAACTGTATGTGTCTTCAGCTTTTTAGGCAGTCGTTTTATTAGTAGCCCTTGCAGGTCTCCAGCATTTTAGGCTCTTCAGCTTAGGGAACAGATGACTGAGTAGTGAATAGGGAACAATTATTCATATTTCCTACAATTTAAAAACCAGGAGCATCAAATAAAATGGCAAAGGGATAAATGACATGATTTCCTTTGTCATGTTATGTATATTTAAATTGTGGAATTCTCTACCCCAGCACATTTTGGACGTCAAAATTAGAAATAATTATAAAACATTATTAGACTAATGCAATAATGTAAAAAAGTATTATTAAGCTCAACAGAGTAAACATCTCCCAAGAAAATTCCTAAACAACTGAAGAACTGGGGAAGATATTGTGGCAGAAATGTCACTTTATACTTGCTCTTCTCTATATCATTCCTGAAGCATCACTGCAGAACCTAGTCAAATACAAACTACTAAATGAGGCAAGCTATTGATATTATCCTTTACAGTTGTTATTTATATTCTACTAATATTTATACTCAAGCAGATCTCCAACTGATCCTTGAAAAAAACACCAGCTTCCATTCTAATTTTTATGTTGATTAAAATTCTTCTCAGTTTTGCAGGTGGGTGAAAGGACCAGCTTTTTGAAAAGAAACATATTTGTGTGACCAGTTCAGCAGCTTGTTTGATACAAGAGATTTATTTTTTTCCCCCTTACTCCACTCAGCTGCTGACTTCTGTTAATTTAAATTGTAGAATGAGCCAGATGATTGATTTCTGAAAGCATTTAGGTATGTCTGGAGAACCCCATTTTCCTCAGCCGAAAGAGACACAACAAATAAACTTCATATAAGCAAAAGAAGTATATATACAGTCACAATTAAAGTGATGATTTGCATGGTTTAGGCTTCTTGTATATCACCCCGAAACTAGGAGGAGAATTTAGTAAAATGACAACTTCCAGTTGGGACTGAAGGGGAAACTATTCCATCCTTAAAAGATTCCAGATGACTGCATGCTTCTGAATATGTTCCCTCTCAAAAAATAACACTGCAATGATGTAGTTAGCCAGGAGGACCTGATTGTGTACCTAGTGGCATCAGTGACAATATTGCAAATAACTTTCAGTTGTGCTGGATCACATTCATAACCAGCATCGTTTGCCTTTCAGAAGCTCCCAGAACTTCGCTGCTACTGCTTGGACCTGTGTCAGTTACATATTTTTTACATCTTAGGAGAACAGGCTCCTACAGCACTTGTGCTGTATTTCATCATATGCAGTCATAGAAAAAAGTGAAGCACAAGCATGGAACAGATGTTCTTTACTATATACGTTTAAAATAAATGTGTTTGTGATAGATTCATGTTGAGCCCTAGAAAAATCCTCACTGAGATAAACGTGGTATGCCCAGTTTGGTCATAACTGGTGTGATCTAACAGCAAAATTGCAATAGTTACCTCATTCTGACAATAGCACAGTTAAATATGTTGCAGTCTGTTAGATATGTCTTTTTACCATGCAAACAGTGATAGAGTTGTCTGGCTGCAAAGTCTAATAATCCAACTATGCCAGGAATATTTTCACTGTGGTCAAGCAGACTTAAGGCAAAATACAAATGTTTCAATTTTATAAATCACAATATCTAGCAAACTACACAGTTCTTCCTAAATTTTCAGAGTTTTCACTTAAGGTTCTCATTCAGATGGTTCAATGATACCAGGTTTATTACTGAACGGTAGCTTAAACATAACTTTAAGCATTTTTTGAAGCTAGTCCTGCAAACTTCATCTCATTATCTGCTGAACGTTTCTTCTTTTGTAACCACAGAGCCTTTACAGTGATAGATGTGCTCTAATTGCACCTTAAAAAAAAGATCCTTCCTCATTAGAAATACATAGATTTCTTCAGGTGCTGATTTACTGTGGAATGACGAAGGCCTGTGTCAGGGCCTTTGTACCATGGCCCCTAATATAAGTGAGAAGTATGAACTTAGCTACTTTAAGAATTTGAGCATAATGTCCTCATATTTTTCTTACCTCCAAGACCTTTGTTGTTTCCATGTTTTCATTATACTTATTTTTGCATAATTGTTTAAGTTATTTTTAAATACTGTTTTCAAAGTCTGCTAGGTTAGATCAAGCATTGCTGATTAAAGATAGCTTCACCAAAGCTTGTTGTTGGTTGTTTTAAATATATTATAGACTGTTCTTTTAGCCTGCCTCCCAGCTCGGTATGTGTCAGAGTGTGTCAACGGTGCTACAGCAATCTTCATATTATTGTGGATCGGAACATCAAAATTTTGCTGCAAAACCGGACAACATGTCACAAAGTGGTATTATCAAGGGGTCAAACACCAAACATTTTCTGCTTTCTACAACTGAAAGACTTGTAAAATTATTTCTTTCAATTGCAAGAAACAAAGCAGCTTACTAAAACCTGTATGTTTGTTAAACCAAATAAAATCAAAGTCTAATGCAGTCAGTAACATTGTTCATCTTGATATAATGGGTTTGATTTGTATCTCACTGCAGAAATTAGGTGCATTTCGAAAAGATTTATTCACCATGACTTAAAGCCATCCTATCCTATCACATAATTAGGGTTAAATTGTAGCAGCAAGTCTTTTTCTTTTCTTAGGATACTTTTCTCTTCCTTTAACTCTCTCTCCTGAAGGGGAGTGTATCTTTTCTTTCCATTGATACGATGTTCGCACTCTTTTTTTCAGCTCTTCCCACCGCTGTTTCTACATCTCTGTAGTCTATTGCAAGTCATTCCATTTCCAACCTTAGGAGAAAAAAGATATTTTTATCTCTTCTTTATAATATTTCTGTTTCTTTCTGATATAATTTGACTTTATAATTGATTTATTTTAGAATCTGTGAAAAAATCCGTGCTAAATTATTTGTGATATGTCTAAAAAATCATATTTTGTTGCATTGTACACAAGTGATTATTTCACTAGTAAATCATTCTTGCTTTGTAGCAGATGCTTTGAATCAGATTTGTTGTAAGTGTAAAATAAAATCATTGCTTTCTCCATCCAGATTGTCATTGCAAACAAACAAGCTGAAGCTATGAAAAATATAGATGGCTTCAGCTTGATTTTGTTATCAGTTATTCCATTAAAATCAATGGAGTTGTACCAATGTAAGCCTGATGTAGGAAAGAATTTCTGTATACTTATCCAAATCTAAATCACAGACACATATAGACAATGTTGTAAGAAGTATAATTACAATTATAATTTGCAAATACCACAGAAAATATAGAAACAGATGTATTTTATACACCTACAGGTTCAATTGCATGAAAATAACATGCACATTATGCATCCTGGTGAAACACAGTCTGGTTTATTTCCGAGAAAATAATATGATAATGGTCTAATAAGCTGTATGCAAAGTCATGCATTAATCTTAAACTATCAAGATAAAATCTACAACCTCTCACAGAATACCTAATATATATCTGATAGAAAAACAAGAATGTTATTTAGACTCATTAATATGATCCAGTGAATAGTCCCCTTGTTAATACAACCTCTTTTTTCTTTCTTTTTTACTGCTTAATAGAGAAGAAAATCACGTTATTCGGACCTTGACTTTGAAGTAAGTTTTACTGAATTATTCCTGATTATTAAAGGTATTTTCCTAAAAGTAATGTGAAGTGATCATTTAGCAGATTTTAGCCTTCTGACATAGTAGATGTCATAGGGTTGTTCAATTGGTACTGTAAAGAACACGATGAGCAATTCATTAAAACTACTTTGGTGCAACTTATTTATAAAATATTCTGAGATCAAACTCTCATATTGCAATATTAACAGCCATGGTTTCAGTTTTTAAATTCTCTGCCTCTTCATTTTCATCTGATTTTCTTTTTTTGTTTTGTTTTGTTTTGCTGGCTATCTATCTATTGAAAAAGTGTGACACTTCTGTAGGACAGGCCACGTTGTTGCAGAAAGTTGCTTTGTTCAAGAGATTCTCAATCATTTGTTCTATCTCTCTTCAATACTAATTTACTGGGATATGAGTTTTACATCAAAATAGCAATTACAAATGTACCAAATTTTGAACTATGATGGATCACATGCTATGTAAAAAAAATCAAGTTCATGTAAGGTTCTTTAGGTTGGATATCCACAGTTTCAGACTTAGACCTTGTTAATGTGAAGGTTTGGTTGTTGTAGTTAATGGCCATTTTGTTCTATCTCAGTCAGCATGATTAAGTCTCTTGGAGCTTTGTTTATTTGAGGTGTTTTTCTCTACTCTCTACCAGAAACAAAACAGCAGCTAGTTTTCAAGAGGATGTTAATAATTTGTGGATTTGGGGTTTTATGCATAGGTTGTCTGTTCATGCATATTAATAGTCTGATATAATTCATTATGTGTGTCTCCGGAGAAGTTGAACAATCACAATATTTGCATGGAACCTACAGATGTAGAGCTAAACTTTTAACATCCAGTGATCAGTATGTATCAACCGTAACTTTAAAAATCATCCTCTCTGTTTGCATGTGCAAACAAAAGCATTTTATATTATTATTTGTGCTGTAAGCACAGCACATGTACTTTCAAATTTCAGATTCTAGTCCATAGAAAAAAAAGAGGCAGAACTAGCAAAATGCAGCCATAACAGTGGTCATAGAAGCTTTGCAATGAGAGAAGGATTGTTTTGGTGACCTGCTTTTGCTGAAATACTGTCCTGCCATGTCCGATTGTGGTTTCTTGGTAGTTTAATGTCATACCTTAATCTCTTATGTCATTTTCCATCAGAGACTGTAGCTACCTTAAGCAGTCCTGTAACATCTCAAATAAAGCACAAAAGATTCCTTGTAAGTTTAAGGAAGATAAAATGAAAATATTATCCTAAATAATGCTTTAGGATAAATGTCTAGAAAGGAAGAAGAAAAACATGAATCAACAACAAAATTCTGATAAGCAAGCAGTTCTAAAATTAGATGCAACCAATATGAACAAAAGTTTTATGATTATGATATAAAGAATTATGAATTTTACTGTTCTTTATTGAAAGGTAGGAATATCATGCCAAAGACTGTTCTCTGTGGCAGCAGATACTAAAACATTCTTCTTACCGCTCAGGAGGGCATAATCCAAAACCAAATAAACACCAACAGTCCTGTACACACTCTGCTCTCAAGAATCAGGTTTCCTATTACATGTTTTCTTTTGGCTTACATAGTATATTTAAGATGCTCACATCTTGCTTTTGCCTTGTTTGCAGCATTGTTGCTCCATGGCCTAATATTTTTAGAAGTATGATTATAATGCGGGAAAATAAATTTGTTTGTAAAAAGGGAAGGCCATTGGGAGAGACTGCTGAGGAAGTGAGAGCGGTAACAATACTGTGCCAGTTGCTGCTCTGATTTAGAAGTACTGACTCAGACTAACCCCATCTCACCTCCCTGCTTTATGGTTCCTCTGATTAAGCCTGTGGGCTTTCCTCTGTTCTTACACACAGCGTGGCCGTCTGTCTGAGGTAAAGCGAAATAAAAAAGCCATAAAATGTTCAAATGCGCACCCAGATTCCTTCGCTCGGCAAGGCATACTGATGAAGGGAATTGAGATAGTGTTGTGTGGCCAAAACACTGCTATTCTGATACTTCAAAGCAGCCTGACCGCAAAATAGAATAGAGCCTGGAGGTGAGGTCGAGCTAGAGGGATTGGCCATACTACTTAAATGTTTAATACTTTCCCTGCTTTGTCTGTGACCAGTGCCAGCTGGTGCTCTCTGACATAATGTCCTTCCACAGTTCTGAGGATAATAAATGCTATGGATGTCATTCTGAGGATAACAAATGCTAAATATGAAGTATGGACAAAACTGTGTCAAGCTTGCCTCCCTCTGTCCCTTTCCTTTTGACACGCTCCTAGCAGTCTCTACACCCTCAGCTTCTCGCACATGTCTCTCTATATCCATACAAGACAAACCCTTAGGCTATGCCTATCTTACTAAAGACATTCAAGGGAATATTCCTGAGTGCCAAAATACCAGGTGTTATATGGATGAATTTTTAGAATTATCATTACTACTTTAGTCTGGAACACTTTTATCTCTCCAAACAGTTCCTGAAATGTCCTTAGGGAACCAGTGCAGCCTAAGGGCCATTCACAATAAGCAATTTGGTTGTAGACTTCTAATTTTGGACACTAATATAATTTTGTTGCATTCCTTGGGAACATTCCGTGCTAGATGGTGCCAGGGGATGGTCACAGTTTCACTGTTTGAAAAAAAAACCCAACCAAACCCTGTGGTAGTGGGCTGCAATGCAACACTCACCTTAATATAGACAATTTGAAGTAAAAACAAAGAAACACATGAAGAGTAATTCTTTTTTTTTTTTTTGAGCGCCACAATTGAAACTCAAAGCTAGCTTCTATGTAGTGTGAACACAGGCAGAACATGATTGTACTCAATGCCATAAAATGTCTCTGTGCCTGTTACCTCCAAGATATGTAGAAATACAGGTTAGTTTTAAGGGCCTTTGCAACAGACTATAAATAATAGAAGTCCTGTTACTGTGATGGGTAGTGTTATAGAAAGCTTATGTCTCCAGTCAAAGGAAAGGGAGAGAGAAAAAGATGACATACAAACTGGCCAGCCCTCATCATAGACCTTGGAGAGGAATCTCTCAAGAACTGGGCAACCTGTATTGTGTTTTACTTTTTAAATAGTTTACCATTACATTCTTAAATTATCCCTTTATGTAGAAAAAAGGCGACCGACTGTAACATACTGGGTTTAGTCTGTAGGCAGGAAGTATTACTGCTAAATAATATATTGTCCACTAGGAGATTTTGCAAAACACTGACTAATCTATTTGAACTCTGAAGTTTGCTAAAATGAGCAGTCAGCGTGTAACAGCTTTACAACTCTTTTCTTGCTATTGCCGAGGATTAGTTTAGACTCATTCATGTAATCTGGTATCCAAAACATGATCAAAATTCATAGGTCTGAGAGTTTTGGATCCTTGCCACTTCTGGCTGTGGTAACTCCAGTTAAGTGCCCTCCAACTCCAGTCATTGTGTTCTGTTTTTTCCTAAAGCTGGACAGGTAGCTTTTTCATGAAGGCTCAGCACTGCTATTTCGCTGTCAGGTCAAATAAAATTCATTCTAATTATGTTGAACAAAAATACAAATGCTGTGGAAATTCCCAGGAGGACTTTATAATAGGTGTGCGCTGACACTTACAAAACATACAGGAGAGTTAAACTGTATTATTGGCATGCATTTTAGGATTCAAGATCACGATCACCTTTACATTCTATAGGAGAGTCTGACTCCTGCATTTCTCCAGCCACCCACTCCACTCTCCCCTTTTTATAAGGCATTATGAGGATCTACTCTGTTAATAACTTTTATGTCAAATAATTCAGAAAAGTGCCTTATTACCCTGCTTCCCAGGATTGAAATCATCGCTGGCTCTTTTTGAGCTCCGCTCATGAGGGAGAGCAAGGATACACAGGTCAAGTGTGAATACCAGAATGCCTTCTTTTCTTTCCACAGAGTGGTAGACTCTCTCCAGCAATAATGCTAAATTGATTATCAATTGCTGGAGCCGCATTCTTTCAGAATTTCATCTGCAATAGCTATTCATTGTAACAACATTACAAGCTCGCACAAAAGTTTAAAATCATTCTCTTTACTAACCTGAACACATCTCTTGAAGACAAAGATGAAAAGAAATATGCCTGCAGGGAAAAATCCTTTCCCATTCGTAAGTTTGGCAACTGATCATACCTGTAACATCTTGAAACCACAGCATGTTTCCATTATAGGGCTGGGAAGGCATTCCTCCATCTGTTCTTTTCACTTGACTGTTTCATACAATATTTGAGAGAGAGCGTTTTCACCTGTGACAATATAGAAAATCTTCAAGGCACATTGAATGATGATGACGATAATAATAATAATAATAATAATAATAATAATAATAATAATAATAATAATAATAATAATAATAATAATAATAATAATAATAATGCCATATTATTATTATTAATGTCCCTGTTACCTCCAAGATATGTAGAAATACAGGTTAGTTTTAAGGGCCTTTGCAACAGACTATTTATTTTTTTTATTGTTGTTGTTGTTGTTGTTATTATTATTATTATTGTTATTATTATTTTGACCACAAATCTTTATGAGAATATTTGTGCTTGAGCTAGAGTTCACCTAAAACCCTGTCATAAATAAAAGAGATCTGGGTATATATATGTTTGAAGTCCTTCCCATCTTGATGATAGCCATCCACACTCTGAATCCTCTTCGAAGAGGAGATGCTCGTCAGAGTGAGGCTTAGTCTTTTCAAAACATGCACTTGATGTTAACTTGTGAGTGAGGGTAGAAATGTGGAAGAGGTGTCAGTTCAGTGGGACTCTCTTTAGGGTGTGGGGCACAAGAGTTACAGAGCCTGTAGGAAAGATCACAAGAAGCTGCACGTTAGCCTGATGGCTAACAGGTGCTTCTGGAGGGGATGCAGCATTAACGGGTGAAGAAGGTGTACAGCATGAGAAGCTCCTTTTCCATCCTGTACAGGTCTTGATGCTGCTATAATCATCCTAGTATATATTGGTCAATATCTCCAGCTCTGTATTGATAAAACTTAAGTATTTCTAAGGTTGATAAAGCTGTGTTTTCCACATTGCCCTTTTAATAGAGAAAACTGGTTAAACCCCCACAAATAACTTCCCATAGAAGAGAGTTACCCAACGGAGCATATTTTCTAGAAAGGAGATAATATGGTGCTTTCTAAGAAGGAATTTAAAAGAAGACTAGAAAAGAAGAGTTTTTTGAAAAAAAAAGTTGGAAATTTAAGTTACTGCACTTTCTGTTCAGATCGTTCTTCATAATCGGTGGGGAGGGGCGAGTGGGTGTCAGTGGATAGGAATTATAGAATGGAAGCCAGGAAAACACAAAGCAATGAAAAGATCCATAGGTACATGTGCATACCAGTCATTCTGCTATTAAGAATAAAATTTAAAGCCTTTTTTCTGGCAGACTTCCCACCTCAAGTATTTAATTTCTCCTCCCACCTGCTTCTCCTCAGGAATAATGTAATGAACTGAGTAAGACATTTGCATTATTCATATTTGCTATTTAACGATTTCTTGGGTACACAATTCAGAAAAATATCAAAAAGTAGTGTTCTCTGTATTCCTAGCCTTCTATTAAGAAGTTTCCAACTGGAGATACTTGTTTCGCAGTCATGTGCTATTTCCTGCTTTTACAGCCAGTATTTTAGCCCACCAAATCTGTTCTATTCCTATGAGCATGTCTCCTTATTTCAGCCAATAATAATCTTTGAGGCAGAAGCTTTCTTTTTTAAATTCTATGTATATTAATTTTGCTACATATCCTTGTCTAGCGTAAAAGCAATAGCTTAAAAGAATCCCTAGGAAGCCACTTAAGTGAGACTCCTCCCATAAGTTTAGATCAGCTATCTCTAGTTAAATTATGTTTTGCAAGGACTTCCTGACTAAATCGTGGAGAATTTTTTCCCTTATTCACCCCTCAATTCGTGTTAAGTTAATAGGTCTTTAATTACTTGCTGTATATCATGTCTCTTTTGTGAATAATGTTGCCTATTTCGTGTTCTCAGAAGTGTATGCTGTAGCTTTATTAAGGATGATATGCTTGTTACAGCTTAGCAGTAGAAATGCGCAACCAAGGGGCAGCCACATTTCATGAAATTTATAAGCACAGAATGCAAATGAAAGATAAAAGTTAAAATTGGTATTGGTAAAGCAGTATTTGAGGGTCAGCTACTGCCACTCCATTTTAACAGATGCTAACCCAGACCTGGCAGAAGCATTACTTGCTGAGAAGGGTCACACTCAGGCACTGCACACATAAGTTTACAGGGTTTGTCATGTACAACGACAGGGAAAATCATGCTTGTCAATTAGCGGACATGTATAGAGGCTGATGTCCTGCACCTTTTCTGTCAACGTTATTGGCTGCTGCCCTGGCTGTAGCTCAAGTTCAAAGAGTTACAAAAGCTTAAGAAAAGCCAAGCTGAGCCCATCTGCTGTTGGACTAAGGTGAAGCATCCTCAGTCCCTCCTGTCCCTCCTGGGATCCACCCAGACCACAGAAGCATGAGATTGTTTGAACAGTAAGCAGCCTTCGGCTTTGCTCCAGAGGCCGGTCTGGATCCGTAGCTGAGCATGAACTTGTTTGGAAACAACACAGATGGTGGGCTTGACAGTCTAGGTTTGACAACGGGCTTCACTCCATGTAGCTGCCAAGATCGATACATGGCTGAGTGTCTCCTCCAACTGTGGGGGC